ATAAACATACGGTGTATTTCAAATGCAAAGATGCTTTATGAAATAATGATGCAAATGACACGATTGGGTGATCGATACACTGAGTTTTTATGTATAGCACCCAATTTTTCATACATTTTCATAACATCCTTCACAAGGCGTATCAAAATTTGTCTAGCACCACCACAATTTGACTGTTTCACCATCATTCAATAGTACAGTTCATAACAACATTCCATCACTGTAGTTTCTAGTTTGTTACGGAATGCCATTTTTCCGATGTGTAGAAATGAAAGTTCTCTTAAAGTATTATTTTATGAGTGAAGAGTGTAATTTTCATCCCAAAAAATGCTCGCTGTTCCGAACTAAAAATGAATAATCAACCTTGCACAGAGTGCTCAAAAACAAACGAACAATCAATGTTTACGATTGACCTGAACGAACCTCTCTAATGCAATTTTATATTTGTCGCAGAAAATGTTCAAAAGCCTAATTTCTTGCTGACATTCTCATGAAATCGATTCAAAATGCGTTGAATTTAAGAAATGCACAAATGAAGAAGCAGTATTACATTTAAAGAAATGTACAGAATCGATGAATGATTATTCATACACTCCTTTCAGGGACATCATAGATTTCATAGTGATGCAAATATTTGTTGAGTAGAGATCATAAGAAGGAATTTATGACCAGTAAAGCTGTTCATTTTCATTCATCATCATTAATATTCCAACGTCGTCATATTTTCAGTGGTCAATTCATAAAATTATCTATGCAATCAGCGCCGCAATATGTCCACTTACGGCAACGACCACATCGTTGGGGATTTTGTTTTGTTTAGGTGTTGGACATGGCATTATTATTGGTATCACTCCATTTCTCGTACTTGCAATCGGTCAGTAATCCCATACTCGTAGCATGCCTTTGTTTGTGTTTTTTAAGGAATGAATTTTGGCCTGATACCTCTGCTCGTATGGTCACATGACAGACCGTTACTCTTCTCCCACTCTCAATCCACAACAATTTAAATGACCACGATTTCCTTTCTGACTCTTCACCTCGACCTTCGCCCCCAACTCTAGCAGTCTATAACGTCTTCTGAGCAACAGAACACAAAAAAATAGAAAAATTGGACCAGTGCTAACAGAAAATCGCTGTAAGCAGTTCAAATTAGACAATTTTACTGGACAGTTATTGAAGAAATATATCAAAAAATAGATCAACTCTACACTTTGAGGATCACTACTTTAGATGGTTTCGACCAATGTTTACACGTTATATTTCGGGATAATCGGCATGGCTCTACATGCTATCTCTCGGAGACCTGAGGAATTGATGATATTTTAGGAATGATGTGTGATGTTTCAGGAACCTTATGAATTCGTAAAATTCAGCGAATAAATTGAGAGTACACTTGACCTCCAACCATCAATTAACTAACAATTTAGTCAGTTAGGTTGAAATGCTCATTGAAATGCTTTCTTAACTGTAGTTGAGAAATTTTGCCCATAAACAGAGCATGAAAAAAATTTGAAGGTTAAGAGATAGCAGAAATGTTGAGTTTGAAATGTCAAACGAAAGTGCAACTGTTGCACTATGCTGAACTGCATGCATCCACTTTCAGGTGTTGATGACTGTTACCTGCTCATTAATTCGTGGAAAAATATTCAATCGAAAATGCAGCGAACCTGTTTCTCAGTTGACAGTTATCGCGAAAATATTGTCAAGGTAATCAGCTAATCACATGTTCTAAAGCAATTAGAATGACTGATCAGTTGATCAAAAATCAGGTGACCCGAATGAAGGAACGATTTGTTCACGTTGATGAAGGCGATGATTCATGATGATGCACTGTTGTATGTTGAAATAATCACACTCTATACTTCAGTAACCGCGCTATCCAAATCAGTTTCAGAACCAATCTCATTTTGAGCCTAAAGAAAGATTGAAAAAGGGTGTTCGAAAGAGAATCACTTGCTGTGAACTCAATCTACGAATCAGTTCCACCATAATCAAGGAAACTTTCTCAGTGTCTCCACGATAATTGCACACGCAGAAGCCACAATCTCTTTCGTGCATTATTTAAAAGTCAAAATATATTGTACCGTAGTGAAAGCATAAATTGTCTTATACGTATCTTGCATTTGCACAAGCATATCAAATCGGTCGTATTGTACTCAGCTTTTAACATAAGAAAAAAATACGACGAAACTTAATTAAGATTTTACTGGATGTTGGTCCATCGATTACAATAACTACACTGACGAATGTCATTGCATTTGGAATCGGAATTTTCTCAAACATACCCGATATCCGTTTATTATCGCTGTCATGCTCATTTGCGATTGCCTTCTCATATCTATATACACTTACAATTTACTTGGCTACCCTGTGCTTGTGTATCAAATATGAAATGAAACGAGAAGACAACCAAAAGAATACCATGTCGATGATAACTGCGTCTGGAAAGGTAGGCATTTTGACAATAATTCGAACAGTTCGACCGTATTCTCCGGCTATTTCCTCTATGAGCTTGAATGTAATGAATATCAAGAACGAGTAGATGTTATGGCCTCAACGACATGATGTAAAAATGATTCGATGCAAATATGGAGGCGGATTCGGAAACCTTTCAGATTCGTAAATCACATTAAACAAATGCGCATCAATTCGTCAATTCCTTCTGAAATCAATTGATCCACCTCAGCAGACTGGAACAAAGAATAATTGATGAATGCAACCTTGCAAAATTGACTTCAGTAGAGAGCATAGGAGCAGTCGCATATGCGGATAAGTAATAATTTGAAGGACACATTAACGAAACTCATTGACACATCATAAGCTATATCAGTGGTTCTCATACGGGATGAAATTACACCTTTTGGATAATTCAAAGGTGTCAAAGGGTAATGGAGGGGGTCGGGAAATTAGTATTTCGTGCATTTATTATGTTTTGATTGAGTGCCATTGTGAAGGTGTATTTTAACTTGGGTAAACTTTTCATTCTCTTATTTTCTGAGTATCATTAGCCCGTCCGAGCCTAACAGGGCTTTCATTAGTTTCAATAGGGTTTTCATTCTTTTCCTTGCTGCTATGATTACTCTCACAGATTTTATCAGCAATATTGTTCTCTTGTGCTGATTTCTCATTTATTTCACTGGACAATTAAAGTCAAATTCTCATGCTATCAAATAGACTCTATAATTGATCATTTGACTGTCGAACGTCGTTGAGCAATAATATTCGATTGTTGCATTGTTGATTTCGACTGTCAGCACTCGTCAACGTATCTAGTAAAGAGTATATGCTGCAGAATAAGAAACTGATTCGAACTGTGAATTGAATTGAGACGACGTGAATGAGAAAAACTCATCAAGAGAACGATATTTGCAGGTAATAGCTATGAGAGTGAATACAACACGTCTGGAAAGAATGAGAATCCATCTAAATCAGTTTTAAGTGAGCGTGTCATAGAGAATTGCTTTTCGTGCAATCATTATCAATTGCAGTAATGAGCAACACAACGTTTTAGGACAGTAGTTCTCATAGGAAGCGAAATTACCCGTTTTGGGTAATTTGGAGGTGTTGATGGGAGGGGGAAGTAGCGGCGGCCTGTCAGATCATTAAACGGGGCAGTGGAGCACTTGAATATGCGAAGCACTCATCTATAACATATCGTTGCATGTTTCTGACACAAACTTTGTGCAAAATCATGTTGTTGATATTAACAATGTACTTCATTTAGACGGCTCGATGGGTCGAGAACTATTGCGTTTGGTTATCAAAACCATTAACCAATTGTTCACTGCTGATCATTTTGTTAGCGTATTGGTGTGTGAGCGTTTATGGAATATTGAACGTTAAACCAGATTTAGCAGATAATAAATTCTTTCTAAAGGATTCATCACTACTTGAGGTGAGTGAACACTCGTCAGTTATTATCAGACAGGGAAAACAGCTCAATTTGAGAACGGAATCCATGATCTCCGACGTTTTTTCGGAGCCTTTGGACCGATGTAACAGTAAGATCATACTCGCGACCATTCACTGCAAGNACTATTCTCCACGAAATTTCAGGCGATCACTTATCGCGAACAATATATTCTGCCAAAGTATACATCTGTGACAATATTCGTTAGTGAACCTGGGAATATGGGCGACAAGTTGCGCAGGAATCAACTCGAGAAAATGATGAGCGAATTTGAGTCTTTACCTGAATGTAACGGCGCGCAATTCAGTCGTTTTTGGATTCGAGATTACGAAAAATTTATTCAAGCCAGTGAAATGGATGAGGATGACGAGCAGGCGAGCGATCAGTTAAAAATGTTTGTTGACTGGCCTGAATATTCATATTGGGGTGGGTTCATGCGATTCGACAACGACACTGGAGAGTACGTTTCAGTGCGATTCAACTTACATTCTTTCGATGTATCTCATGCAGAAAACTTCTCTTAATAATGAAACATACGAGAGGATGCATGCTAAACCTAAGCAAGTCGATTATATGTTGCTGGTTTTGCATGATTTATGTGCAGAAGGATTAATGTAGGTGTTCGTTGATCCGGTGAGAATCAACGATCCGTGCAAATAAACAAACTTTTCGAGACGAGATTGATGAGATCTCAGAACGAAAAATGTACTCATGTTTAGTTTCACCCTGGCAAACAAATGAATGTCTGTAAATGCTAGACAAGCGGTTTCAAAACAAGCGGGATTGTAGTTAGCCGATTGGTGAGCGATGTTCTGTTTTGCAGATTAGTATCTTTCTTTTCAACAGTTGCGTATCATGGCGAAGACCTCTGGCAACCAACGCGTCGTACTGCTCTGTTGAACCAATGGAGAGCGATTGCAGATAACTATTCGGTATCTCTTGCAGGACATTCTTTAGGGAAACATTTCTGAATAGTTATGCATGATCCGATTTCTAAATCGTATCGTTCAGGAATTCTCAGTGACAATCTACGAGGATGAAGCACCGGACTTGGATGCACTTGACACGCTTGTTACAAGCACATTCAAAAATTCATTCATAACTCTACTTTGTATGGCACTTGTCGTTCTCGTATTCATGGCGTCCATATCATCACTTCTCATTACTCTTATTTCAGTCACATCAATCTGTTCTGGTCAGTACTTTCTTTCCATGTTTGTCAGTACTCACTTAAGTTCGGTTTTGAATTTTCGTTCAACTTCTTAATTCAGACTCGGAAATTGGTCACAGAAGTGTGTTTGTTTGTTTTTACGTCGCTATTTCATACATTGAAATGTTTTCTCACTCAGTGGGAACAGCCTTCTCGTGTTTGTCGTCTCAAGATCAGCCGTTCCTCAATTCTGGCTGATGTTGCCTAATCGTAAATATTTTCCAGGTGTTTTCGGGCTGGTATCTTTGTGGGGCATTGATATCGATGCATTTTCAATGACTGCACTAGTAATCTCGATTGGATTATCGGTTGATTTTCCGGCACATGTCATCTATCATTATTATCGAACCGAAGACAGCAAAAGTCTCTCAACATTCAAACATCGAATGCAGTATACGATCAGCTCAATCGGGTTTCCACTCTTCCAGTGTAGTGGATCGAGTGTGCTGTTCGTTGGATGTCTGCTTTTCATACCGTGTTATCTGAGCGAAGTACGATCTTACCAAGGCTTTCTACACTACTAATAACCACTCGAAATAGTGTACCTCTAGTATGGAGTTTCCTGCAAAAAGCACTCAGTTTATGCACTGATCCGATAAGTCAAGCAGTGTTTCATGATCACTTACAGTTAATGTATTCTTTAGTTACAATTAATATATATTTTTCATATCAATTCGAATCAATTACCACGTCGTTTCGGTGCTGCCTAATATGCATCAAGGAATGAATGCATAAAAGCGCTGAGATGGTTAGCTAGTAGAGAGAGACTGAAGGGAAAAAATCGTAAAATCAGAAATGAGTTGAAGAGCGGTGCAAGATAGACTACTGCGAAAAAAAAAGAAATTAATGAGACTTCAGTTGATGAGCAACAACACTAT